GATCTGGTGTGTTACAGGACCATGTTACACTGGGGATCTGGTGTGTTACAGGACCATGTTACACTGAGGATCTGGCGTGTTATAGCACCACGTAACACTGAGGACCTGGCGTGTTATAGCACCACGTAACACCGAGGATCTGGCGTGTTACAGGACCATGTAACACTGAGGATCTGGCGTGTTACAGGACCACGTAACACCGAGGATCTGGCGTGTTACAGGACCATGTAACACTGAGGATCTGGCGTGTTACAGGACCACGTAACACCGAGGATCTGGCGTGTTACAGGACCACGTAACACCGAGGATCTGGTGTACATAGGACCTGTCCTCGTGTCACTCTCCTGCGCAAGTATTCCTGCATTGCTTTTCCATGAAATATTTTTCATGTACAGTTTTTTCCAGGAAATAATTTTTTTCTCGCGAGCAGTTTCAACCGTACATATTTTTGCCTTTTTTTCGCGAACCTTTTCTCGCTAATCTGTGTGTATGGAAGGTTTTTGCCGGCTGTTTCTGCTGGAGAGTGAGCGTGACGCCGCACTCTGTAGCGGGGAAGATGAGGCGAATGGATGAAATGTATTTTTTTAAGCCACAATCTTGTCCAATATTGTTTCTGTTCGAAGCCTCGACACCTCGTAGCCTGGTGGATAGCGCGCAGGACTCGTGATTCTGTGGCGTGGGTTCGTTTCCCGCACGAGGCAGAAACAAATGGGCAAAGTTTCTTTCACCCTGAATGCCCCTGTTACCTAGCAGTAAATAGGTACCTGGGTGTTAGTCAGCTGTCACGTTGCTGCTTCCTGGGGGTGGAGGCCGGGTCGAGGACCGGGCCGCGGGGACGTTAAGCCCCGGAAGCACCTTAAGGTAGGGCATCTCAAGGTAACCCATTGGGTGTCGGGAATGAGGAAGTAAAGAGAAGGGGTGCTTTTTTGTAGGTCGTCGTTCGCATCCTCCCGTTCCCTCTTCCCCCGTCCCCTTATCCACTGCTTTAAAGAGCCATTGGGGGCTCTCTATGGCCTCGGGTTGTCCTTTGGATAAATCACATTATGTGTGCATTGGCCATATATATATATATATATGTATATATATGTGTGTGATGTAAGTACTATGCTAACAGTCACTAACTCCATGGAAGGCTGGCTTTAGAGTAGGCAGTGAAAGTAGAACTCTGGAAATAATCAACAGGTAAGCTAATTATGTTGATCGCAGGTGAACATCGCTATTTCCTATGAACTTCATAAATTCCATTAGACTGCCTAAATTCATGTGATCTTCGACTGCCCAAAATCATGTGATGTTGGTCCTCGCGAGAGACTGGTATGGAGAGACAGGGAAAGATAACTTATGAAAATTATTGAACTGTGCAGGAGATAACATGACGGAGAGAAAGCGAAAGATAACAAGTAATCGGAGATATCGAACTGAGAGACGTGACCAATGGCGGGTCTCCCAGGATTCGGTCCTTGGGTCATCAATGTTCCTAATTGAAGTAAATGAACTTCCCGAAGGAATGAACTCATGCATGCTAATGAGCAAAGAAAAAAAATATCCAGGACTTCAGAGAATTACAGGAAGACCTCAACAGACTCCGGAAGTGGGCAGTCACTTGGCTGTATTTCAAGCACAAGAAGTGTATGTTATTGATGATGAGATGTAGATAAAAAAAATACCAGAAGATTGTACACCATGATTGGAAAGCAAGGGGAAGAGTCAACATACTGTTGAAGTGTACTACTCACTGCCACGCCATGTAAATAGGCCGCGGACTTGGGTCTCACAACTCTCGAAACTCAACATGAGCTACAGGTACACACACACACACACACACCTGCTCTACCATTCATCCACCATCACCGCCACTACCACCATCACCACTATCGTCACCACCATCACCAATCGTCATATGTGAACAAAAGGGCTTCAACAGCCATCTAGGCTTGAAGAGCGATACCAAAACGTCCCATTTTAACCCTTGTGAACAGAACCCAAAAGAGACCTCTTTACCCTAGTCCCCCCCTCCCCCCTAATCCCCTCTACCCCCTCCCCCCTCTACCCCTTCCCCCCTACCCCCTGTCCCCCCTGTAGGAGGACAAATCCTACATCTGTAGGCACTCAATGTGGAGACATATTTGATCTTCCTAATCTCTAGTTTTTATCAAAGTGGTGCGAACAGAACCGCGTTTGGGGGGGATTTTGAAGCTGGTCGTTAAATTTCCATTGGATCGCTTCAGGATTTTTGGATTTGCTGAATAAAGCTTTATTTTTGTTCCATAGGGGGGGAGGGGAGGGGAGCGTGCGCGCTGAACGCTTTATGTTAAAAGGTTCATTTAGTTTCATTTATATAATTTTTTTTTTTTTTTTTTTTTTGCGTTTTTAAACGTTTTTTTTTATTGTTTTTTTTCATGTTTCCTCGTGGTTTAGAATGTTAGGTGTTTTGTTAACGTCTTCTGTCTCCTGTCTCGTAGACCCTCAAGTCTCCTGTCTCACAGACTCTCCCGTCTCCTGTCTCATAGACTCTCCCGTCTCCTGTCTCACAGACTCTCCCGTCTCCTGTCTCATAGACTCTCCCGTCTCCTGTCTCACAAACCCTCCCGTCTCCTGTCTCACAAACCCTTCCGTCTCCTGTCTCGCAAACCCTCCCGTCTCCTGTCTCACAAACCCTTCCGTCTCCTGTCTCGCAAACCCTTCCGTCTCCTGTCTCATAAACCCTCCCGTCTCCTGTCTCATAGACTCTCCCGTCTCCTGTCTCACAAACCCTTCCGTCTCCTGTCTCACAAACCCTCCCGTCTCCTGTCTCACAAACCCTCCCGTCTCCTGTCTCACAAACCCTTCCGTCTCCTGTCTCACAAACCCTCCCGTCTCCTGTCTCACAAACCCTCCCGTCTCCTGTCTCACAAACCCACCCGTCTCCTGTCTCCCGTCTCCTGTCTCGCAAACCCTCCCGTCTCCTGTCTCACAAACCCTCCCGTCTCCTGTCTCATAGACTCTCCCGTCTCCTGTCTCACAAACCCTCCCGTCTCCTGTCTCACAGACCCTCCCGTCTCCTGTCTCACAAACCCTCCCGTCTCCTGTCCTCACAAACCCTCCCGTCTCCTGTCTCACAGACCTTCCCGTCTCCTGTTTCACAAACCCTCCCGTCTCCTGTCTCACAAACCCTCCCGTCTCCTGTCTCACAAACCCTCCCGTCTCCTGCCTCACAAACCCTTCCCGTCTCCTGTCTCACAAACCCTCCCGTCTCCTGTCTCACAAACCCTCCCGTCTCCTGTCTCACAAACCCTTCCGTCTCCTGTCTCGCAAACCCTCCCGTCTCCTGTCTCACAAACCCTCCCGTCTCCTGTCTCACAAACCCTTCCCGTCTCCTGTCTCACAAACCCTCCCGTCTCCTGCCTCGATTACTGCCGAGTGAACAGCGGCGAACCGTTTAAAATTAGAGCCCTGATTTAAGCCTCGGTTTTTAGACTTAAATATTAAGTTAATAAAGATCATGAAATTGCATAGAAATATTTTGGAAAGTAAAGCAGTATTGGAAGTTTTATTAATTTGTGCATTAACTGTATAAAATGTAAAATATCTCATTTGCAGGTTGTGCTCTGAAAGAATGAGAGCCAAATGTATGCAGATGTAATTTGCTTTGATATGTAAATGTGGCTGTAGGGTGGAATACTTGAATATAATGATCTATCGTTAACAAATATCGCAGCCGGCTATTGTTAATATCGAGATGCGTTGCTCTCTGGGAGCCTGCGTTACTCTGTGACGCACGCACGCACACACTCACACACACACACACACACACACACACACACACACACACACACACACACACACACACACACACACACACACACACACACACACACACACACACACAATTTTTCATTCATTGTTTACAATTCACATTGTTTACAGCAATGACAAGAGTCATTGCTGTAAACAACCGATGGCTGGAAAGGCGGGATCCAAGTGCCAATGCTCGATCCTGCAAGCACAAATAGGTGAGTACAAATAGGTGAGTACACCCACACACACACACACACACACACACACACACACACACACACACACAGGGGCCGGTGCCCGAGCGGACAGCACGCTGGACACGTGATCCTGTGGTCCCGGGTTGGTTCCCGGGCACCGGCGAGAAACGATGGGCAGAGTTTCTTTCACCCTAAGCCCCTGTTCACCTAGCAGTAAATAGGTACCCAGGAGTTTGTGAGTCTTGTGGGGTTGTATCCTGGGGAGGGTTAGTAGGTCGACCTTGAGGGGAGAGGGGAGAATCTCTATATATTAGCCTAACATGTATATATATATACACTGGCTGCCTGCCCCGGACACTGTATTATTAAAAAAAAAACGATTTACATCGTATGTGAGCGATACGGAGTTGCTCTCCTCAATTTAGTTGAATTAATAACATGAACACTGCACTAGAAAGGTTTTTAAAATGAGTAAAATGTCAAGCCAGTTGTGGGCGGGTATTGTGAAGTTAGCGCTTGGTGCGTCATAAGTCACTGAGTGACACTTAAGTGTGAGCAGGACTAACTGCCAAGGTAGACTTGGGGGTGACACTTAAGTGTAAACAGGAGGAGTAAGGAAGAGGGTCTGAGGCCGCTCTTAAGAGTGGTGATCTTGAGTCTTTACTAAAATTCAACAGTTCATTATCTTGAGGTTATCTTGAGAGAGATATTCGGGGCTTAGTGTCCCCGCGGCCCGGTCCTCGACCAGGCCTCCACCCCCAGGAAGCAGCCCGTGACAGCTGACTAACACCTAGGTACCTATTTTACTGCTAGGTAACAGGGGCATAGGGTGAAAGAAACTCTGCCCATTGTTTCTCGCCGGCGTCTGGGATCGAACCCGGGACCACAGGATCACAAGTCCAGCGTGCTGTCCGCTCGGCCGACCGGCTCCGTCATTATAAAAGTGTCTTTAACGTGGGCTTCCTTTCCCTCTCTCTCTTTTTTTTCCCCTCTTCTCTGTCGTCTTCCCTTTTCCTCTCTTCTGTATCACATCCAAGTATGGTTGGATGTGGTGAATTGTTCCATTGATGAAGCATGGTTGGTGCTATATTGTTCCATTGATGAAGCATGGTTGGTGCTATATTGTTCCATTAATGAAGCATGGGTGGTGCTATATTGTTCCATTGATGAAGCATGGTTGGTGCTATATTGTTCCATTAATGAAGCATGGGTGGTGCTATATTGTTCCATTAATGAAGCATGGTTGGGGCTATATTGTTCCATTAATGAAACATGGTTGGTGCTATATGGTTCCAGTAATGAAGCATGGGTGGTGCTATATTGTTCCAGTAATGAAGCATGGTTGGGGCTATATTGTTCCAGTAATGAAGCATGGTTGGGGCTATATTGTTCCATTAATGAAGCATGGTTGGGGCTATATTGTTCCATTAATGAAGCATGGTTGGTGCTATATTGTTCCAGTAATGAAACATGGTTGGTGCTATATTGTTCCATTAATGAAGCATGGTTGGGGCTATATTGTTCCATTAATGAAGCATGGTTGGGGCTATATTGTTCCATTAATGAAGCATGGGTGGTGCTATATTGTTCCATTAATGAAGCATGGTTGGGGCTATATTGTTCCATTAATGAAGCATGGTTGGGGCTATATTGTTCCATTAATGAAACATGGTTGGTGCTATATTGTTCCATTAATGAAGCATGGTTGGGGCTATATTGTTCCATTAATGAAGCATGGTTGGTGCTATATTGTTCCATTAATGAAACATGGTTGGTGCTATATTGTTCCATTAATGAAGCATGGTTGGTGCTAAATTGTTCCATTAATGAAACATGGTTGGTGCTAAATTGTTCCATTAATGAAACATGGTTGGTGCTATATTGTTCCATTAATGAAACATGGTTGGTGCTATATTGTTCCATTAATGAAGCATGGGTGGTGCTATATTGTTCCATTAATGAAGCATGGTTGGTGCTAAATTGTTCCATTAATGAAACATGGTTGGTGCTAAACTGTTCCATTAATGAAACATGGTTGGAAGTGCAAAATAACAAGCTGTACTGTACGAGAATATTGTAATAAATATACACTTAACCAAAAAAAGAAATTACCAAGCTAATAAATGTTCAATAGAGAACTTTAGTAGCGAGTTTCAGGGGACCAACAGTGTGGTTGATCAGGCTGTCAACGAGGGCCGGGTTGCATCAACCATTGCGGAAATATGTACACCTCCCCCCCCACACTTTGGAGGTGGATAAGCACCTCCAAAGGATACCTGATCAACCAGGCTGTGACTCGTACGTCAGGCTGCGAGCAGCCGCGTCCAACAGCCTGGTTGATCAGTCCGGCAACCAGGAGGCCTGGTCGACGACCGGGCCGCGGGGACGCTAAGCCCCGGAAGCACCTCAAGGTAAGGTAAGGTAACCCCCCCTCATTCCTGTTTGATGTTTTTTTAGTAAACAATGTCTGAACAACGAAGCAATGTAAGGTTGTTTACACACAATAATAACCTTGGGTTGTGAAGCCTTCAGGCCCGTAAACTGTTGACGTAACTGTCAGTCGAGCTTGTCACGGTTAATGACAGATGCACAGGTTTCGTAAGTGGTGGTGTAAATGGTCGATTAATTCTGGTTTAGAGGATCTGGTCAGTGTGCTGTGTTCCCTCCAAACACACACCGAAACTACGACGTTGGTGCAACGTTCGAACAAGTTTTAACACCACCTAACCAGTTATAACAACCAATATATCAAGTTGTAACAACGTTCCAATACGTCATAAACACGTTAAGCCAAGATGTAACAACTTTATTACAAGTTGTTACAAGCGGAAAATAGAGACAGTTTCGGTTTGTGTTTCCAGGGTTTGCTCTTCTCTCCTTTCCTCTCCCCTCTTCTCTCCTTTCCTCTCCCTCTTCTCTCCTCTCCCTTCCATTTTCTCTCCTCTCCCTTCCATTTTCTCTCCTCTCCCTTCCATTTTCTCTTCTCTCCCTTCATTTTCTCTCCTCTCCCTTCCATTTTCTCTCCTCCCTTCCATTTTCTCTCCTCTCCCTTCCATTTTCTCTCCTCTCCCTTCCATTTTCTCTCCTCTCCCCATTTTCTCCATTTTCTCTCCTCTCCCTTCCATTTTCTCCTCTCCCTTCCATTTTCTCTTCTCTCCCTTCCATTTTCTCTCCTCTCCCTTCCATTTTCTCTTCTCTCCTTTCCTCTCCCTCTTCTCTCCTCTCTCTTCCATTTTCTCTCCTCTCCCTTCCATTTTCTCTCCTCTCCCTTCCATTTTCTCTCCTCTCCCTTCCATTTTCTCCCCTCTCCCTTCCATTTTCTCTCCTCTCCCTTCCATTTTCTCTCCTCTCCCTTCCATTTTCTCTTCTCTCCCTTCCATTTTCTCTCCTCTCCCTTCCATTTTCTCTCCTCTCCCTTCCATTTTCTCTCCTCTCCCTTCCATTTTCTCCCCTCTCCCTTCCATTTTCTCTCCTCTCCCTTCCATTTTCTCCCCTCTCCCTTCCATTTTCTCTCCTCTCCCTTCCATTTTCTCCCCTCTCCCTTCCCTCTTCTCTCCTCTCCCTTCCCACTATTCGCACTTCAATTTTTTTCATAGTTTTTAACATTTTCGTTTCTCCCATCTCGTAATCTCACCCTTTCCCTTTCGTCTCGTTTACTCTCTCTCTCTTTCCCTCTTCTCACCTCTACTCTCGCTCTTCCATTCCATTTCCTTCCCACTTTTGGCATTCCCTCTATTACCCACCTTCCCCTCTACTCTCCCCCTTCCTTCTCTCAGGAAGGGGAGAGCCTCTGCCACTTGTCAGTAGGAACTCCTTTAGTGTATTTATATTTCTCAAAAGAAATTTAAATACATTAATAATTACTAGTTATAATCCATAATTATTGAATATAATAATTTATTATCATTATTACAAAAAAGATTTAACTGTAGTGTCATTGTATTTTTTGATTTGTATAGTTATTTGTAATATATGGAGTCTGTCAGGGTTAGTTAGAAGAGAATCCTATATATATATATATATATATATATATATATATATATATATATATATAATATATATATATATATATATATATATATATATATATATATATATATATATTTGTATATTATATACAGGATCGGGTTGCCATCTGTATGTCGTATGTTTTGTCTTAGTGGTGTGTATAGGCCGAGAAACAATGGGCAGAGTTTCTTTCACCCTATGCCCCTGTTACCTAGCAGTAAAATAGGTACCTGGGTGTTAGTCAGCTGTCACGGGGTGCTTCCTGGGGGTGGAGGCCTGGTCGAGGACCGGGCCGCGGGGACACTAAAAGCCCCGAAATCATCTCAAGATAACCTCAAGAATCATCTCAAGATAACCTCAAGATAACTAGCAATGGAAGCCTAACATTTCTACCTTGTGAATTAGCCTGGGAAAATTACGCGGTTTTTGTTACGGTGATGAGTGAGTTGTTAATGTGGCTTTTAAACAGTTGGGTAGTTTGTGTTCTTGTGTTATGGGCGTTGTGGTTGTGGTGTGGTGCTGTGGTTGTGGTGTGGTGGTGTGGTGGTGGTGTGGTGCTGTGGTTGTGGTGTGGTGCTGTGGTTGTGGTGTGGTGCTGTGGGTGTGGTGTGAGGCTGTGGTTGTGGTGTGGTGCTGTGGTTGTGGTGTGGTGCTGTGGTTGTGGTGTGGTGCTGTGGGTGTGGTGTGGTGCTGTGGGTGTGGTGTGGTGCTGTGGTTGTGGTGGTTGTGGTGTGGTGCTGTGGTGCTGTGGTTGTGTGAGGGTGTGGTGTTGTGGTTGTGGTGTGGTGCTGTGGTTGTGGTGTGGTGCTGTGGTTGTGGTGTGAGGGTGATGTGGGCGTGAAGGAATTGAGAGTGCGCGTGGTGCTCATGCACTCATTTTATCATGGAGGTCGGTGCTCATCCCTTCCACTCACGCCCCTCCTCCCCTCCTGCACCCCCCTCCTGCACTCCCTCCACCCCCTCCTGCACTCCCTCCACCCCTCCTCCACTCCCTCCTAATTGAATACCAATCACTCCACTTTGCCAGTCATTCATTTCGTCTCATGTTATGAATTAACATTCCATAATGACATGAAATGTCTTTACAAAGTTCCTGCGTACAAAATCGAATTTTATAATCGGGGTTTTTGCCAAATTGGTTACGACAGGTAATGAGACCCCCCCCATACCCCCCCTCGACAGGTAACATACCCTACCTCTCCCACAGGTAACGTTCCCTACCTCTACCCCCCCCTCCCCCCCTCCTATCTTCAGATAACGTTCCTTACCTCTCTCGCAAGTAACATTCGTTGCCAGTTCTTTCCTGGAATTGGGATAAACGTGTCCCAATTTTCACTACCTCTTTATATTATTGAACATAGATAATTCGCTCTAAATTGGTGAATTTGGCGAAACAACTGCCGTTCATAACCTGTAATGACCCTTTACACCTCCAGCTAATAGCGCATTTTGTTGAAATGTAAATTTTGCTCGTAATCTCTTTAAGCCACGTATCCAATCTGCATTTTATGTGGGGTCTTTTGCGGTTTTTGTGGCCTTTTTTTGGGGGTCTTTTGCGGTTTTTGTGGCCTTTTTTTGGGGGGGTCTTTTGCGGTTTTTGTGGCCTTTTTTGCGTACAAAATCGAATTTTATAATCGGGGTTTTTGCCAAATTGGTTACGACAGGTAATGAGACCCCCCCCAACCCCCCCTCGACAGGTAACATACCCTACCTCTCCCACAGGTAACGTTCCCTACCTCTACCCCCCCTCCCCCCCCTCCTATCTTCAGATAACGTTCCTTACCTCTCTCGCAAGTAACATTCGTTCCCAGTTCTTTCCTGGAATTGGATAAACGGTCCCAATTTTCACTACCTCTTTTATTTTGAACATGTAATTCGCTCTAAATTGGTGAATTTGGCGAAACAACTGCCGTTCATAACCTGTAACCCTTTAGACCTCCAGCTAATAGCGCATTTTGTTGAAATGTAAATTTTGCTCGTAATCTCTTAAGCCACGTATCCAATCGCATTTTATGGGGGTCTTTTGCGGTTTTTTGTGGCCTTTTTTTTGGGGTCTTTTGCGGTTTTTGTGGCCTTTTTTTGGGTCTTTTGCGGTTTTTGTGGCCTTTTT